AGAGGACATCCAGATGGACAACAGACACATGAAATTATGCTCAGCATCCCTCCTCATCAGGGAAACACAAATCAAAACCACACTGAGATATCACCTCACACTGGTCAGAGTGGCTAAAATGAACAAATCATGAGACTCTAGATGCTGGCGAGGATGTGGAGAAATGGGCACCCTCCTACACTGTTGGTGGGAATGTAAACTGGTACAGCCCCTCTGGAAAACAGTGTGGACGTTCCTCAGGAAACTAACAATAGAACTCCCCTAGGACCCAGCAATAGCACTGCTGGGAATTTATCCAAGGGATACAGAAATGCTGATGCATAGGGGCACATGTACCCCAATGTTCATAGCAGCACTCTCAACAATAGCCAAGACATGGAAAGAGCCCAAGTGTCCATCAACTGACAAATAGATCAAGAAGATGTGGTTTATCTATACAATGGAATACTACACGGCAATGAGAAAGAATGAAATCTGGCCATGTGTAGCAACATGGATGGAACTTGAGGGTGTTATGCTGAACGAAATAAGGCAAAGAAGGACAGATACCATGTTTGCATGTATAGGTGGATTAGGAGGAACTTAATGGAGGACCATGGGGGAGGGGAAAGGGAAAAATAGTTAAGGAGAGGGAAGGAGGCAAACCATGAGAGACTCTTGAATGTTGAGAACAAACTGAGGGCTGATGGGGGTGGGGGAGAAAGGAAGGGGGATGATGGGCATGTAGGGGGGCACTTGTTGGGATGAGCACTGGGTGTTATATGGTAACCAACTTGATAATAAACTATTTAAAAAAAAATAACCCTAGTTAGCCAATATATTTTCTCCCCAAAAGAAATTTAGATACCTTTTTATGCAATTAATTTTTTTCAGAGAGAAAAAGTACAAGGAAGCATAAACAGAGGAGGGGCAGAGGGAGAGAGAGAATCTTAAGTAGTCTCCATGCCCAGTGCAGAGTCTGACTGGGGTTTGAACACAGCACATTCAACTGACTCTTGATTTCAACTCAGGTCATGATCCCAAGGTCATGGGATCTAGCCCCATGTCAGGCTCCACACTAAACATGAGCCTTGCTTAAGTTTCTCTTTTCCTCTCCTTATGTCTCTCTCTCTCTCTCTTTCTCTCTCTCTCTGTCTCTCTCTCTCTCTCTCAAATAAAAATCAAAATCTCAGCCTTCTGAAAAATGTAGAACCTGAAAATTAACACTAGCTTCATACAAATGCATTCTGTACACATATAAAAAATATGAGTTAAGTGCAATAAAATACCAATAGTCATTTTTGTTTAATGAAATTTCATCATCAGTGAATAAATTCTCTATTATCTCAGTAAATAAAATCTTTAAAGACAATTTAACCTTTAATTTAAGGTCTTAAGGGCATCACCAAATCTTAAATCAGTATAGTATACCTATGGTATAGAGTAGCAGATTAAGAGCTACTTACCATAGAATATGACATGGAAGTTGATTGGGGGAGAGGTTTGGTTTTTGTTTGGGTTTTGTTTTTGAGTTAACCATAGTGTATCAGAGTGTTTCACCCTGTATCAGAGTGTTTCACCCTGTATGCTGTATTTTAGAAGAAAGACATATTTAAGCACATGAGTGTCCATGGAGGCTTTAGTAGAAGGTTTTATCTATTTTATGAGCTCCCATAAAAGCAGAATATTAGGAATACAAGTTATATTTTCTAACCACCACTTTGGCCCTAACTTTCTCTTTCTAATCATTTAAGATATGCCTAGTACACCTATGATAATAGGTGGATCAAGCTGTGCAAGAATGGATGCCAGGTCTGGTCTATGGCAGAGTTTTTCCTGTGAAGCTCAACTGCCCTATGTCTGCAAGAAACCATTAAATAACACAGTGGAGTTCACAGGTATCTTTTCCAGTTTCTGTGCAAGTAGGTCTTAAAGTTATAGTTTTGTGAAGTCAAGTAAATACATTTTAGATATCTATTTCCACTTTTCCTTCACCTGATACTGCCAATGCTAAAAACGACTTCATTTTGACCCAGTGGTTAGATGTCATCAACTATATATATCAACTTTGGCTTGATATATCCCCACAAGAAGGCAGAGATATCCTCGGTAAGAAATATATTTCTATTCAAAGGTGGCTTTTTTCTTTAGAGCACTGTTTCTCAGAGTGTGGTTCCTTAGAGTATTGGTATCAAATGTACCCATTAGAAATGCAAATTCTTAGGACCCACCACCCCAGATTTGAAATCTGGGGCAAATCAAAGACTCTGTGGGCCTGATGATGCTGATGTGCACTCAGGTCCTATATTTTACCTGCCTCTGTGAGAATGAAAAAAATCATTGACATGGGAACTTTCCTAGGGTTTCCATTCCTGCCCCCACGATGCCCACCCCTGCTATGTCTTTTTTCACCAAGCTGCTTATTTAGGTTATTGTGTTGATAGATCAAGTAGAAAAGGTGGAGTGCAGAAGTCCAAAATGTGTACAAGGAGGGTTTTTTCCCAAGGGATTGAAAGTATAAGAGAATCATGGAACAGTTGAAACTTCTGAGGTGCAGAGAAACTTCAGAAGCCTTTGAAAGAATAAGAAGAGGAGTGCCCTTACTGTCTTGCACAGGGCCCACCACACACCTGGTGTTTGATTAAATCCTCCTGAGCAAGAAAAACTAATACTGAAAACTGGGAGAGAAAAAAAGGAGGTTTTAAAATGTCTTGTTTAAAGAATGTTGGGGGAAGGGAATAAAATTGCTTATCCCTATAGGAGCATAAAACTATTTTTTAAGACTGAAAAATAATTATATAGAATATAAATTATTGGAAGATGTTTAAAGTCATAGGCGAAAATGAACATTTATCTTCCAAGTTGATTCAAACCAAATTTAGTCCATACATGAAAAAGCATAATAGGAAAGACAGCACAGATGAAAATAAAACAGGATGACTGATGATAGATCAAGTAAATATCCTGTAGCAGAGTAGCAATTATTAAGTAAATCATGATGTTTCCACATGATTGAATAATATGCATTTATTAAAATAACTGTGACAGCAGGAAAATACAATAACATAACAAAATGATATGCCTATTTATCATTTCAATCTTGTAAAAATATGTATTCATAGAGACAAAGACCAGAATAGGAAAACATTTATTCTAAGTTCAATTATGGGTGTTTTTTCCTCTGTTCCTTTATCATAATTGTAAAATATAATAATAATACCATGTTCTATTTCAGAAACTTAAAATTAGTTGAGTTCTCTTGTTTTCTCTTGTTCTCAAGTGTGAGAAGCTAACTTGACCTGACTTTTATCTTTCAATGTTTACATTTTTAAGATGCTGTGTTTCCATACAACAGACATTCCAAACAGTTCTGAATCCACAAAGTCTGAGTAATTAACTTAATTTCTAATTCTATTAAGAGGAGTAGAAGTATTTTGTATGGTTTTATACCTCAGTCTTTTCTCCAATCTTTCTTGACTATAATTTGAGTGAGTTTTAACATGGTCAAAACAAAGAATCACTAATTCTATGAGGATGTAGGTCTAGTAGAGGGAAGGAAAGAAGAGGTCCAGAGAGGCCCTGTGCCCTTTCTGTCTAGTGCTATCTTCTCTTTCATGTGGAATTTATAAATGTTTTACTCTGTTTCTTAAATCTCTGCCTGTCCTTTGTTCAACAGTGAGCATTAATGCACTTTCCCTTGCTAATCTGACCATACATGAAAGGAGGTTGGACTTCATAACCTCTCAGAGTCAGAGACTGGAGGGGAACCTAACAAATACCTTAGCAAGGAAGAGATTTGTCAGCAAATGGCTTACCCTACATCATTCTTCTATCAACTAGTACTAAGGGCAGTCCCTCCTCAAGGAGTCTGAGCCCAATCATGTAGCACATTTGTATCACATTAAAGTCATATCATTACCTGCATCCCTGTAGTCACTCTTACAGTGCTATGTAGAGTGAAGCACCACATAAATTCATGTCCTTGTACTATTTGACATCACATTTCCTAGTTTTCCAGAATCCTGATAATGTGAGAAAGAATTTGCAATGTTTTTGATGTGTCCTTACTGGAATATAAATAGATGCTTTTCCCCCAGATATTTGGACATATTCAGATACGCACTGTGATGAAGGCTGGATGTCAAATAATGGGTTTTGCTATCTGCTGGTAAATGAAAGTGATTCCTGGGATAAGGCACATATGAAATGCAAAGCCTTAAGCAGTGACCTCATCAGCATTCATTCTTTAGCAGATGTGGAGGTTGTTGTCACAAAACTCCATAATGGAGGTAAGTTTTTAAAATATCCTTCTTGAGAGGTTTAAAACATTCTAAAGCACCCCTAATTTTCAGACTCTTCATGGGAATGAAAAGCTTACAATCATCCTTAGAGATCAGCACTGTCCAACAGAAATTTCTACGATGATGGAACTATTCTGTAATCTATGCTGTCTAATACAATGGCCACCAGCCATTTGTGGCTTTTGAGCACTCGAAATATAACTGAGGAACTGAATTTTTACTTTTAATTAATTTTAATTAATGTAAAAATAACCACATTAGCTAGTAGCTACCAATTTGACTCTACAGCCAATGGTTAATTTCCCTCTTCTCATAATCTAAATACTATTTAAGTTGTTCCATATGCTTAAGTAATGATTATTTTACTTTTGTAATTATTTAAAAGCTAAACACTGAAGAAGAAACATACACTAGACAAGCAGTATTATATCCTCTTCCTAGGCTTTGCTAATCATAATAACTAATAATGTATACCTATCCCATGTCAGCATGGTGCTAATTGTTTTACCTGGGAAGGCAGCATAGTGATTCTAGGGCAGCGATGGACACCAGTCCTATTCTAACTGGAGTATCTATGATTATATTTGTAGAATTTCATTATAGGTTTCCCCTGCTACCCAAAAGCATACTGTTCTTATGAAACCTTTCATAAACCAAAATAGCATAAAACAAATAATCAATTACCATTTTGTAAAAGCAAAAATCCTTTTCAGATTTCTTTTAGTTAGTGAAAACACATACATATGTTTTTTTGTAGAAGTGAAGTGGTAGAAATTTGTATATCCCATAAAGCAAGGTTTATCTAAACCTGAAATCAGGCACACCTAACCTGCATAAGTCCACAAAAGAGCACTCGACTCCTGGCCTTCCTAACATCAATATTTTAATAGGTTAATTATAAATACCAATCAGGCTGTTACAACCCCATTATCAGAAAGTAAAAATTAGTAACAGTGTACATATTGAAGAATGTAATTGATAAATAAAATAAATAAATAAAACATTTTTCCTTTAGATGCCAAACAAGAAATATGGACAGGTCTTAAGAACAAAAATATACCAACTTTATTTCAGTGGTCAGATGATACGGAAGTTACTTTAACATATTGGAATAAAAATGAGCCAAATGTTCCCTACAACAAGACTCCCAACTGCGTTTCCTATTTAGGAAAGGTAGGAAACCTTCCGTGGTTTATTTATATTCTTATTATAGACTAAATAATAATATTAAGATGACTTTGATTGGGATATTTGTATATAAGCTGGGAAAGGAAATAAAAGGTAAGAGCCCTGTAGATTGTCTTTCTGGTAGCTACTAGAAAAAAGAGGTAAGTGGGGCGCCTGGGTGGCTTAGTCGGTTAAGCGTCCGACTTTCGCTTAGGTCATGATCTCGCGGTTTGTGGGTTCGAGCCCCACGTCGGGCTCTGTGCTGACTGCCAGCTCAGAGCCTGGAGCCTGTTTCGGTCTGTGACTCCCTCTCTCTGACCCTCCCCTGCTCACGCTCTCTCTCTCTCTCTCCTAGAAATCAATAAAAATATTTAAAAAAATAATAAAATAAAAAAGAACTTTAAAATAAATAAATAGATCCATAAAATAAAAAAATAAAAATTAGGTCTAATGTTTTTCAGAGAACATTTTCTGTAGAATGCTTAAATATTTATTGATCATGCTTTAGTTAAGAGTTCAAAACAGGTTGTGTGTTGACAGAAAAGATATATGTGTCTCTATACTTTGTTTGTATTCCTTTCCTGGGGACTCCTAATTGTTTAGGAGGTTTGTGTCACCCAAACTTCTAGAGAGATTTAAGTAGAAACAATAAATGATATGTGTATTTAGAAGTGTTTCAAGAGTAAAGATTTATTTAGAAAGTTGTCAAAGATGAATTTAGAAGGGTGTCACATTTGGTGCTCTATTTAAAAGGGTATTTAAGATATCTTTGGTAGAGTGTCAAAGATAGAAGTGAGGTCCAATAGGCAAGAGTAAACTGATAGCATATTTAGATAGCATTCCAGTGTTTAAAACTGACCCTTATCACAATTGAAACTTAATTTGAAGAAAGCAGAATGACTTAATCAATTCAGCAAAATTAATGCTAAGTAGCATATTTGAAAGAGAACTTTGAAATCTAGGTTGAAGTAGAGTTGGAAGAAAATTTTGATTCTGGAATTTTTAGAGAGTAGCTGTTCTAACCATCATTTTACATATGAGGAAACTGAGAGCATGGGTGGTTGATACATCCAAAAGATTATAACCCATGGGCAAACTGGCCATATGGTATGGAAGAAGACTCAACTCTGGCAACTGTGTGCTGGCTGAGTTCTTCTTTCCTCAACTTCTGTACTAAATGCCCTTTGATGGTTTTATTGTTAATCTTAAAAGAAAATGAAATTCGTCTCCACTATGACCTTGAGATGGTTCTGAAATAACAGACTGTGAACCGCAACCTTGCAAGCCTGGTCAATAGCATTTCCTAGGAGTATGTTCTCAGATTTAGTCATGCATTTATAGTCATTTTCTCATTCCCTCCCCCTCCCCCACTCTGCTCCTTGCTCACAGTTTTGTGAGAAGAAACTATCTTTTTTTTAATGTTTATTTATTCTTGAGAGAGAGAGAGAGAGAGACAGAGCTCAAGGTGGGGAGGGCAGAGTGAGAGGGAGACACAGAATCTGAAGCAGATTCCAGGCTCTGAGCTGGCAGCACAGAGCCCAACGCAGGACTTGAACCCATGAGCCAGGAGAGCATGACCTGAGCTGAAGTTGGATGCTTCACCAGCTGAGCTACCCAGGCACGGTGAGAAGAAACTGTCCTGCAAATATCATATGTGTGCATGTATAGGAGGATTAGGAGGAACTTAACTGAGGAGCAAGGGGGAGAAGAAGGGGGTAAATGGTGGGGGAAAGGGAGAGAGGCAAACCATGAGAGACTCCTGAATGCTGACAAAAACTGAGGACTGATGGATGTGGGGGGGAGGGGGGATGGGCATGGAGGAGGGCACTTGTGGGGATGAGCACTGGGTGTTAAGTGGAAACTAATTTGACAATAAACTACTTGTAAAGAAGAAGAAGAAGAAGAAGAAGAAGAAGAAGAAGAAGAAGAAGAAGAAGAAGAAGAAGAAACTGTCCTGATTTAAAATAAGTTAGATTTCTCAAATTCCACATATGAGTGAAATCATATCATATCTGTCTTTCTTTGGCTGACTTATTTTGCTTAGCATAATACCCTCCAGTTCCATCTATGTTGTTGCAAATGGCAATATTTCATTCTTATTTATGTGTGTGTGTGTGTGTGTGTGTATGTAACCACATGTTATTAAGGGAAAAATAAGATAAAAACAGAGAGAGAGGCAAACCATAAGAGACTCTTAAATACAAAGAACAAACTGAGGGTTGATGGGGGTAGGGGTTTGAGGTGCTGGGAAAAATGGGTGATGGGCATTGAGGAAGGTACATGTTGGGATGAGCACTGGGTGTTATATGTTAGTGATGAATCATGGGAATCTACTCCTGAAGCTAAGACTACACTGTATGTTAGCTAACTTGAGAATTAATCAATTGATTGATTGATTGATTAAAAATACATTAGAGTTCAATTCTAAATATGTGGAAAATAATTTCTCTGTGGAAATTTTTTTTCTATTTTTAAAAAGCTAGGTCAGTGGAAAGTCCAATCATGTGAAGAGAAGCTTAAATATGTATGTAAGAAAAAGGGAGAAAAAATGAATGATACAACATCTGATAAGATGTGTCCTCCAGATGAGGTATGTAAAATCCCTGTGTAAGTTTTTCTAGGGAATATTACATTTTCTTGGTTAAGGCTGGTAGGTGAAACTGAAACAATTCAGAGCTAGAAAATAGAAGAAAGGACTACCTTCTGTTCATTTATGTTAGAGCAAATCAGAGGGCAGTGAATCATAACATTTTGGCATTTTTACAGAAGAAAAAAATATTATAGGAAAAAGAGTTACCTATTCATGAATTTCTATAAAAATGTATGTGATTACAGTTCTTAATGTTGATATCTTTACTTCCCCAATTTATATTTATCCTGTTCAAAAATCATGTGACCAGTAATATTATAGTATGATGAGCTTGCCCTAGAGGTAAAGAGAATTAAGACACACCATCTTTCTGACACAGGCTCACACTCTTGTGGGAGTTCTCTGTGAAGTCGTTACCCTACCTTCATCATGTGAATGAGTTTACTGGCCATGCCCTTAATTTCTCTAAGTGTGAGATTTTATCAGTGCCTGTCAGACTGAGGACATCAAGTTTGAGAGACAGTGTGATGATATTTCTCCTCTGATTTAGGGTTGGAAAAGACATGGAGAAACCTGTTACAAGATTTACAAGGATGAGGTCCCTTTTGGAACCAAGTGCAATCTGACTATAACTAGCAGGTGTGGCCATCAGGAGACTTGTACTGGTGAACTTTTAACTCTGGATCCCTTTGCTAAATAAGCTTCCTAAGAAAAAGATGCATCTTCAGTTTATGTAGTAATTCAGTCATTATAACAAACACCTACTAATTTGACTCCTGTTTTGCAGATTTGAGCAAGAATACCTGAATGATATGATTAAAAAGTATACTAAGTCTCCAGGAAAATACTTCTGGACTGGCCTGAGAGATACAGATTCACATGGAGAGTATAGCTGGACAGGTGTTGGTGGAGTAAAGCAAGTTGTAACCTTTTCCAACTGGAATTTTCTTGAGCCAGGTGAGTGCCTTAGCCTTTAAAGTAGTAGAATATGATGACTAGTGAAATGCAGTATCCCTCTCAAATATGTTCTTCACTTACTTTGAAATGTGAGGAAAATGATAATCTTCAGGATGACAGTCCATCTATGGAATCATAAATAGAAGGAGTGTGTGTATCTTCCTTATTAAATCCTTATGAATAATCCAGTAAAAGGAACTAAAAAACTCAGTGCTCGGAAACTGTCTCTAATGGCACAAAGCCAGAACTATCAGTGTGAGGTGTTTTTTTTTTAATCTTTTCCAAGTAAATCTCCAACAGAATCTAGAAGTTTCATTTTGAAATGCTTTACATATTCATCTCTCTGCTTTTTATTTCTTTATCCAAAATTGAATGTGTTTATTTCTATTATTCCCAATGTGTGGGAATTAAGGAGGCAATATATTGTAGGTATTATTTATTCTGAAAGTTAGTTCATCCTTCTGAAACAGGATCTGCACTGACAGCAGCAAGCACGATGCTGGGCTTGAACTCACAAACTGTGAGATCATCACCTGAGCTGAAGTCTGTCGCTCAACCAACTGAGCCACCCAGGTGCCCCCAAAATCCTTTTTAAGAGGATTTTGGCTTTCTATAAGACTGGAGATATAAAGCATTCAACTTTCCTCCCTTTGGATAATTTTTTTTTTTTTTGCTTTTGTACAATGTGATCACTAAGACCACTCTTTATAAAGCAATAATTGGAACATGTGAATGTATAATGATACATAAAAATTGAAATAGATCCCCACCATCATAAATGTGAATGGTACTGATAACAAAGTCATATTTTCACTTGTAGAAGATGGAGGATCAGGTGCCAATCCTGCTTAAATATCACCTTAAATTATAATGTTCTAATATGTAAAACACATAGGATTTCTTTTATAGGCATTCTGATATATTAGAGTCAATGTCATATTCTTCACAGATAAGCCTCACTGATTAGAGAGATGCTCAGAAAGTAGCTACAATGACATTTTCTGAGTTCTATAGCCAGAAAGACTACCATTAAGCTCTCTTCACCACACTTACTCCCAGCTTCAACCAGCTTGGTCCATCATGGACAAGGCATGGGTAGGGGGCTGAACAGGAGGGAAATAGCACACACATTCAGGGCAGCACAGCATTTTCCTCCCAGTCCCTTGTTCCAATTGTTGTCCATGTATGGGACATGAGACAATGTCTGCTTCGTGGAATGGAAGTTGGCCTTATTACTTTCCAACCTATGCTCTTCTTTTCTTCTGCCCACCTCAGGCAGTATGGTGTAATGGAAAAGGAAGGATGGCACTTTGCCAGACAACCTGGGTTCAAGTGCTGACTCTACCACCCACTAACTATGGTTGTAGCAAGTCACTTACTCTTTATTTGAAAAATGGAACTGATAATACAAACTGTTTCTTAATGTTGTGAATAAATAAAATTCTGGCTACCATAAAATAAATAGTCAACAAATGTATGTTACCATATACCTCCTTCTACCTTTATTATACCAGCTCTTCCTTTGGATTTGAATCTGAAAGAGTTTTGTTTTGAGGGTTATTAAGTTGCTTTAAAACTAACTGTTCAAAGTTGTTAGGCTAATATGAATATGAGCCACTTAGGCTACCTTGAGCAGCATAATGGTTTAGAATACAGCCCCACATGCAGACCTCCTGGACTCTAATTTTGGATCAACCACTTACCAACCACTTACTAACCTTTTACTTGGACAAGTCACTAGTCTTCACTATACCTTAGTATGACAATAGGACAACTCCTGAGGTTTGTTTTGAGGACTGATTCATTTAATCCTCTTACAATAGTACTTAGCAAGTAATAAACACTTCTCTTTATTACCACCATTATCATCATCATCATCATCATCATCATCATCATCATTATAAACAACACATTTCTTTGTCCATTTTCTTTTATATTCTTTCTCCAAAGCTTGGCTCAAATAAAGGGCCAACAATGTTTGGGCTTTAATTTTCAAATGTAATGTTTAATTAAACTTTCTGTTAACCCCAGCTTCTTCAGGTGGGTGTGTGGCTATGGCTACTGGAAAGTCTCTTGGAAAGTGGGAGGTAAAAGACTGCAGAAAATTCAGAGCACTTTCAATTTGCAAGAAAATAAGTGGGCCCATTGAGCCTGAAGAAGTAGCTCCCAAGCCTGAAGACCCCTGTCCTGAAGGCTGGCATAGTCTCCCCTCCAGTCTTTCTTGTTATAAGGTAAAGTAACATCCTCATTCAATTCCTCAATGAGATTATCTTTCTACTATCCTAGTCCAGATCCTTGTAGAAATTATGCTCCTCCCAGACCCATATGTAACCTACTAAGGTGTCTGGGAGCACCATTGAGCCTTTGTTATAAGACAGCTCATTTCCACATAAACTCACATCCTACCCAAAAGAACAAGGCCTGGGTGCCTGGGTGGCCCAGTTGGTTAAGCTTCTGACTATTGATGTTGGGTCAAGTCATGATTTCATGGTTCATGAGATTGAGCTCCACCTGGGGCTCTGTGTTGACAGCCCAGAGCCTGCTTGGGATTCTCTATCTCCCTCCCTGTCTGCCCTCTTGCATGCTCGAGCCCTCACTCTCTCTCTCCCTCAAAATAAAATAAATACACTTTATTTATTTTTTTTTAGCATTTGTTTATTTTTGAGAGACAGAGAGAGATAGACTGTGAGCAGGGGAGATACAGAGAGAGAGGCAGACACAGAATCCAAAGTAGGCCCCAGGCTCTGAGTCATCAGCACAGAGCCTGATGTAGGGTTCGAACTCACAGACTGTGAGGTCATGAACAAAGCCAAAGTCGGACGCTCAACTGACTGAGCCACCCCGGTGTCCCAATAAATACACTTTAAAAAACAAAACAAAACAAAACAAAAACAAAAAAACAAAGCCAGAGCCAGAACTGGCTCTTTCCTAGTGTTCTTTTGTTCTGAGAAGTTGAGTAAGCTACATGCCATGCAACGCTTTGCTTATGATTCTCATCTGTCTGTAATCCTTGTTGTCAAATGAAGAATTCTGTCAGTTCTTACAATTAAAACAAAAATTATTTTAGGGGCCTGTATCAGTCAACTGACGCCATCCCCAAATTCAGTGGCTATGACAACAAACATTTAGTCTCATGTTCACAGATCTCTGGGTCAAATAGAGATTGATTGCTTTGGTTTAGGCTAGAATGGTGAGCTCTGTTTTCAACTATAGGTCAGTGGTGCCAGGCTCTAGGCTCTGAGTCGGATATGCCAGCCTTCAACCCGGGTGTCAGACTGAAGAGGCAGCAGCTGTCAGCGGCTTGTTCTTATAGTCAATTGCTGGAGCCTGAGACGCAAACCTAACCATATACACACATTTCAGGCCTCTGTTCACCTTATCTTCACTAATACACCATTGATCACAGCAAGTCACATGGTCAGGCCCCAAATCAAGGCGTGGAGAAGTATTCTTCCCCCACCAAGAGGCCATGGCAGAAATGTACAATTATATCACAAAGAACTGAAGAATTGGGACTAATAATTCAATCTACCATTGTACCATTTCCTCCTCTTCTGTTTTTGAAATGGGTGTGGTTCCTTTGCCATAAAATTAGTCATCACAAACCAAAGAAATAGTCAGAAGTGGCAAGTTTTGTTTTGCTGACTTCTGTCAATGTTAGCAGACAAGTACAGTCTGCCCTTTGATTCATCTTCATCAGAAAATAGGCCTGCATTTAGGCAGGTCTCATTGTTTTATGTTCATAATTATTATTTTTAGCACATTTCTCTGCAGAAGTCTACTCCCAAAGTATTCATATATATCCTTTATAGCCTTACCTACTGGTTCAATTTATTTCTCAAGGTTATAGCAAAGCAGGAGAATATGGTATATGGCTGGAGCCATTCTCCATCCTGGCTGAGCAAGGTCATCCATCTGGCACCTGTGCTGGCCTTTAGTTGACATTGTCAGCAGATCCTATCTGTGTCACAGTATATGTTTTTTACCTGTTTTTATTACAAGTAAAAATAAAAACATTTTCCTTTTATTATTACACCTATAAGAATCTATTTCAGAAGCCTACACATTTGAATTTAAGAAATGTAATAAATGAACAAAGGAAAAAAGAGCCAAATGAAAAACAGAATCTTACTGATAAGAGGACAAACTGTTGGTCACCAGAGGGGAGGTGGGTGGAGTGATGAGTAAAATAGGTGAAGGGAATTAAAGTGTGCACTTATCTTGATGAGCACCGAGTAATGTATTGAATTATTGAATCACTACATTGTACACCTGAAACTACTATAACACTGTATGTTAATTATATTTGAATTAAAAATTTAATAAAAAAGTCTACCATTTGATCATAATTAATTTTGAAATTATGAATACTTTATGATTATGCCACAAAACAAATTAACATTGTATTTTGTTAAGCTGTTTCATATAGAAAGAATTGTAAGGAAAAGGAACTGGGAGGAAGCTGAGAGATTCTGCCAAGCTCTTGGAGGACACCTTCCTAGCTTCAGTCATATAGATGAAATAAAGGAATTTCTTCACTTTTTAATGGACCAGTTCAGGTAATACTTTTAGAATGAGATCTTTGATGCTAAATTTGATGTCCTCTCGTCAGAATTGGCATGTTTTATTTCCTAAAAGAGTCATTCAGTGCTTAGCAGTCATCCAACATTAAACATTTTTTATGTGCAAGACAGTATGAGTGAATCAAAGATGAGGAAGATAGACTCCCCATTCTTTATGTGGCATGACAAAGTCCACCAGTGGGGATAAGAAAAGTATGGTGAAAAATCTAGAACACAGGTCAGAAGGGGGCATGGGAATTCTAAAGACAGATGAAGTGCTTTGGGGAGGTATAACTGGGAAAAATGTTATGAAGAAGGATGGATCTTGTAAGGTGAAGTAGTATTCTGAAAAGTAAGATAGGAAAAGGTGCCAAAGAAAATAGAACATTAGCAAACTTACTGAGACCAGAGTGTACAGATATGGTCAAAAAGAAATAAGCCATACCACTTAGCTAGAAAATGAAATTTGTATATTAAAATGGGGCATCCTTGTTTGTCAGGGAAGGAATTTGATCTTAAGTCAATAAGCAAAAAAACAAACAACAGTGTGTGTGTGTGTGTGCGTGTGTGTGTGTGTGTGCGTGCGTGTTCGTGTGTGTGTGTGTGTGTGTGTGTGTGAGAGAGAGAGAGATACATATGTGCGAAGAGAGGAAGAAAGAGAGACAGAGATGGTATGATGTGAGATGGCAGGTAGATGCAGGGCAAGTAATTAGAAGGCTATTACAGCCCTCTTGTGGAAAACTACTTTGAGGATAGGCAGTAAGAATGTGAAAATAAGACAGTAATCAGAGATGCTTCAAAAACAGAATCAATAAAGCATTGCAGTTTTGATGTTATGATGGAAGAATTTCTGGATGATTTTTTTGATATCCTAAGAACAATGTAGAGAAATATGCTATCATAGCAAAAACAAACAAACAAACAAACAAACAAACAAAAAAACACCTCAAGTTTTGGGAGCAATCATGAATATGAGGGCCTTTAACTCCACAAATTTAATTTTTTTTTCTTCCTTCATTTTTATCACTTGAAAAGAAGACCCAAATCTGTAAATCAAGGATTCAGAGTACACCAGGCAGAATTATGGCAAGATTACCACTTGGACATAACCTAGTGAATACTTGCCTTATTATTTTCACTCAAACAAAAACCTCAAAGAAACATAGCAAAAAAATAAATAAATAAATAAATAAATAACAAAACAGGTACCAAAACACAAAATCCAACTAGCCTTCTTCTCTAGGACATTAAATATAATAAGGCATTTTAAAATTGGCATCTATCCTGAAACTAACTTTATACTATATGTTAACTAATTAGAATTTAAATAAAAACTTGAAACAAAAACACAAAAACCCTGACATTTAAAGAGTTTTGAGGTGGCAAATGTTTGTAATATATTCATTTTAGTTCTCAATTACAGTGCTTTTCATTTTTGAAAATTATAATTGATACAACACTATAGCTTCTTTCTTGAAAAAAAAAAATCAAAGACACATTCCAGCTGAAGGTTGAAAAAAAATCAAGAACACATGAATAGGTAATTTACTTTAAAAGAATTAGAAGGAAGAATATATAATGTAAAACATCCCCAGTCTGCATAATATAATATGTATATGTAATTATAAAAATAGAAAGAAATTATCCTAAATTCTGAAAGAAACATAAGAATATTTTAACAAGACCAAGTGTTTAACTCTATTTATAAATAAAAACTGGGATATACTGAGATACAATAGTGGTAAAAAAATGAACGTATAATAAATTCCTCATTTACCTAGAAGTCATATTTAGAACCACAGATTATGTACATTTTTAAAACAGACTGTGTTTATCTACTGAATATAGAATGGGTGAAAAAAGGTTTATATAGCAAACCATAAGGAAATAAAATAACAAAGCATGAAATCCAATATAAAGCAAGGTGGCAGAAGACCAAATTTATCCATTATCAGTTATATTTATGTCCAAGTCTTACAAATTTGTTCAGTAATGATATTGAGCAGTAAGCTGCTGAAAGATACCGCAAGCAGATCTTGCCAGTAGTACCTATCCAGCCCAAAGATTATGATGCTCTTTTCCTAGAAGGAAGAAGCTACAAAGTATTTCAAAATTGAAAATTTTTTATAAAAATCTGTATTTTTAATCCTTTTTTAAAAAATAAACAACAGGACATATTTTCATATTATAGCACTAATTAGTTAGTCCCGAGTAGCCAGTGACCCACCAAGATAGGGCATCACTCTCCAATTTGTTGTGGTTCCTAATTTATTACTTCTTGACTCACTTATATTCTTGTCCCATATTAACCTAGATAGCAATTTAATTAATAATCACAAATTTATTACAACAAATAAAATGGGAAAATTAAAAGAATGAACAAAATTATATTGTGCAAATGTGAACAAAACCTAAAGTCACAGTATTAATATTAGATAAAATACAACTGAAGTAAAAATGCATTGAATGAGGAAATGAGATCTATTTCATCTCAAAAAAGGTGCAATCTACAATGAAGTTATAGCAGTCAAAAACCATTACACATTTTAAAATAATAGCATCAAAATATATAAAGCAAAAATATTAATTATATTAGTGAAATTGTCCAGTAAATAACAGTAATGGAAGACATTAACCTTTGTCTCATTCATCAACAAATGAGACAGACAAAAAAGAAATAATATAGAACATATGAAAGTATAATTAAGGTTGATTTAATAATATCCTCTTTGTTCATATAGTACAAAGTCTATGTATACTTTCTCTTTAAGCTCTTTGACTGTATCACTTACAATAATTGATCTATTAGGCTAAAAAGAAAACCTAAAATTACTAAGCAATGAAATTATACAGGTAAATAAAGAGTGAAGTCAAACCCTATGCACTTACAAATTCAATGTTTTTATGTAACTTTTGTGGCAAAAAAGTAAAAACTATATAGATGATAATGACAACACTCATTCTGAAATTTATGGGATAGACCCAACGCTATAGTTGTAGGTACATTAATAGCTTTAAGAGCTTTAAGTATTGGGGTGCCTGGGCAGCTCAGTTGGTTGAGTGTCTGACTCTTGATTTCAGCTCAGGCTGTGAGATTTAGCCCTGTGTCAAGCTCCGTGGCAGGCTCTGCATCAGGCTTTGCTCTGAGTGTGTAGTCTGCTTGAGATTCTCTCCCTCTCCCTTTTCCCCTGTTTGCATTCTCTCTCTAAAATTTAAAAACAGAGAGAGAGAAAGAATTTTATTTATTTTTTTAAATCTCTATCAGATTTTTATTTTTAATTAATTTATTTTTTAATTTACATCCAAGTTAGCATACAGTGCAACAGTGATTTCAAGAATAGAGTCCTTAATGCCCCATACCCATTTAGCCCATCCAGCATAATCCCTCCAGCAACCTTCTGTTTGTTCTCCATATTTAAGAGTCTCTATGTTTCACCCCCCCCCCCGTTTTTATATTATTTTTGCTTCCCTTCCCTTATGTTCATCTGTTTTGTATCTTAAAGTCCTCATATGAGTGAAATCACATGATACTGGTCTTTCTCTGACTAATTTCGCTTAGCATAATACCCTCTAGTTCCATCCACATACTTGCAAGTACTTTAATTATTAAACAAAAATAAAGAAAATGAACAATCACCTAAAAGTGAAAATAAATTTCAACATAAATACAAGGAAACCGTAAGAAAGAATAAAAAGAAAGAAAGAGAGAGAGAGAGACTGAGAGAGATTTAAAATGAAACCTTAGTAAGGGATTATAAAACTTATTTCATGGAGAAACTTTTAATTGGTAGGATTACTATGCACAGTTCTATGCAGTTACAAGTGAAATTGTTAAAATGAATAGTCTCTAGGGAAATAGAAATTAGTATACAATTGATTTGATAAGTAGAAACCAATAATCCAATAGCCATGAAAGAAATGGAAAAAGCTGACAAAGAATTTCTTCTATGAAAGAGATAGGAAGTATAATATATGGTTATATATGCGAATTTCTTTACATTTTAAGGAAGAGATCATTACCTTGTATTTTAGGAGTACACACAGAGCTTATATTCCATTACGTAGAAACTGATACAGGCATCAAGTTTATTTCACAAACTCATCTAATTCTGATATCAAAGCCTATCAACAAGAGCACAAGGAATTACAGACCAACCTCATGACTAGACTTAAAAAAAATAAATACTGGGACACCTGGGTGGCTGGCTCAGGAGGTTGGGCATCTCACTCATAATTTTGGCTCAGGTCATGATCAGTTGGTGGGTTTGAGCCTCACACTGGGCTCTGCACTGACAGTGCAGAACTTGCTTGGGATTCTCTCTCTCCCTCTCTCTTTGCCCTCTCTCTGCTCACATGCATGTGCACACTCTCTCGCTGTCTCTAAAAATAAATAAATAAACATAAAAAAAAAAAAAAAAGGAGAGAGAGGAGCCCCTGGGTGGTTCAAAGGGTTAAGCGTCCAACTTTGGCTCAGGTCATGATCTCATGGTTCATGAGTTCGAGCCCCACATTATGCTGTCTGTCAGTACGGAGCCTGCTCAGGATCTTCTGTCCTCCTTTCTCTCTACCCTTCCCCCCTCTCAAAAAAAAAAAAAAATATATATATATATATAAATATAAATAACATACCTTGACCAAGTAGGATTTCTTCCAAGAATACAAGGTTGGGTTAGTATTAGGAATTTTGTATATCAAGTCAACTATCAAATAAGCATCTTAACTGGTGCTGAAAATGTATCTGGTAAAATCCACTATATATTCCTGGTTTAATATGTCAAAATATCATAAAGTCAACATAAGTAACACACAAAGTCTTGTTAAAATAAGAATAGAAGGATAGTTCAACCAATAGCCATACCACATTTAATGATTAAACATTAAGTGCATATCTATAAATGTCAGAAAAAGGTAAAGATCCCTGTTATCATCACTATTGTTGATTTTATTTTGGACTTTATACCCTGTGCATTAAGATTTTTTAAAAAAGAACATTATCA